CATCCCTTCCTACCTTGAATTTATTATCTTTTTAAGCTAGAAAATCCCTCATCCAGCTCCTTTTGAGCCCCCTAAGTGTTTTTTCGTACATGTTAGATGTAGTCATGCTTTGTATAAGTGTGTTAGTATATTGTGAAAATATAAGTTATTGTGAAATCGGTTGTAGTGTATCCGTATGAAATAAAATGAATTGAAAAATAATTTTATTCTGGGACTGAAGTCCTCTTAGAATAATAGTAGGGTTTACAAAATATGTACATTAGTCTGGCATGTAAGTATTATACAAATATACACAAAAAATGCCTAGGAAATAGTAAGCACATATATATACACAAAGATACAAAGAAAACACAAATATTTACAATAAAACACTGGGATATAAAAAAATTAATAAATAAAAATAAAATGATTTCTATCAATTAACTGCTGGTGGCCAACGTAATTATGTAACCCAGAAATTTTTACAAGCTTGTGGAAGTTTGAATTTGTAGTAGGTGGTGGAATAGGAGTTGTTTGAAGTAGTTTATAGACGTGGCTTGACGTATGGAGAGGGTAAGAATTTACTGAAGGAAGTGGTTTTATGGAAGAGGATATATAATCTATAGGTTGAGATCTGGTATTGAGAGAGTGGCTAGAGAAGCATGAAGTAAGGAGTTATAGGATGTAGGGAGGGTTTTTGCTTCTGGGAACTTGAAAAAGAAAAACACCAAGTAGGAATTGCCGTTGGGAAGTTGGATCTAGCCGCTTCAATTCGGTTTACCAACAGGGACTACGAGAACGCTTAACTGTATGTGATCGTTAACTGCTGGCATTTGAAGGTCTTTATGTAATGTAATGTTTGTGACTTACCATAGACATAAGTTAGGGAAAAGTGTGTAATTTTGGAGTTATTCGCAAATAAAGTTTTTTTTTCCACAATTTTTTTTCCTGAGTTTTCGGAATAATTGGACTATTTTTCCCGCCTCAGGGAGAAGGAAACCTTCAAAATTGGTGGCTCAATCTTGGGGTTTGGTGAAGAATGAACGATGAGGTGACTTACCGACAAAAAACACCACAGATAAATAAAATAAACTCCTCTTCTCTCGATCATGGAGACCTCAAGTCGATGAAATGAGACATGTATTTATAGAAAGTACTACAATTAATATAAGGTTGTATGGATGCGAACCCTATGCCTTGCGTTATCTACATTTTGGGGCTTAAAAACGCAGGATCCGATAGTTCCGGAGGAACTATCCGGGTCTTGCTGTACGCTTCAAAATCTTCAAGATCCAATTTGTCTCGTATCGATCTACAGACCTACCATCGTTCCAGTATAGAAGCCTAGCAAAATGTTTTTTATCTACTTTATTTATTTTAGAAAGAAAAACAAAAGCAGAAAGTACGATTCGCTAACCCCCTGTGAAATTCTGAATCCAACGGTACCCCATTCATGGTATTTGAGCATGACAGGAGCTTTTTATTTGGTACAAAACCGATTTCGGGCCTTACTGTAATAATGTTTGTGGGGATATTTTTCCTTTCGGAAAGGGTAAAGGTACGGATAGCGTTTTTTATAGATCTCCTCTTTTTCTGTATTTTGATACCTTGATTCTCATCATTGGTTTCAAATCGAATTGTAGGAACAATTATCAGAGCCTCTTTTCCTTCCACAGTAAAGGCTGAGAAATATACGAATCTTGTTGAGTCTTCCGAATTTATGCAATATACTTCAAGGAAACATATATACTTTTCTTCACTAGGAATTCAGCAATTCGATGCTTTATATTATTGTGCCGGAGGTGTGAAAAGGCGCATGTTATTCAGACATTTGCCCAGTACATGATCTGGGGTTTCTGACTCTCGGCCGCATTTACATTAAAATTAAAAACTCTCTACCGATGGTAGAAATCGTAGTTTTGGGACTGTTTTCATATTTTTTTTTTTAAATTATGTAATAATTGTATACATATTTGTTACTACTTTTTTTTTAATGTAATATGTCTTGAACCTAATCGAATGTATGATCTTGATTTCGTTTATATTACTTTTATATATATATATATATATATATATATATATATATATATATGTTCATTTTAATAATTTTTTTTTATATTCTTCATGCGTTATTATATCATGTTTTTGTAGCCTTGAAGAATACCTACAAAGTGAATAGAAAATTCGGTATTAAAAAGTTTTATAATTTACGATGTTTAATTTTTATGCTGTAATATGTATACAACAGTTAACTATTCTATACATGAAATAAATTGTTTTATATCATAAATCAATGATGATTTTTCTTTTTTAACCTCTTGTCTCCTTTATCACTTCATCTAAGCCAATGATTTAGCTATCGTTTTGATGATTACGTTAACCGTTAATTATAAAAAAAAAAATATCTGGTGTGTCCACTCACACGCCTTTCCTACCTATTTCAAAAAAAATTTTATATCTTTACATATGTTCATGGAGAAACAAAAAAAAAATTGAATTAGATTTATTTTCCTGAAAATTGATCAAAGAAAAGATTTTATTACGATTTATTTCATAAACTAAAGCAATGTAAACCGGCTTAAGGTAGATCAGTGTAAAAATTTCAATACTCTCTAATATTGCTGATCAAAAACTTTTTGCCATAGCTTAGTATTGTCAAACAATGATTTCTGTCAAAAGTAGAGGATATAGTGAAGCTTGTGTGATGCGGGCAACAAATTTTCTTACTTTCACTTAGTCATCTTTTTTCTCTCATTCAACTCTTTCTGACACCAGGATATGAACTCGTAATCTTACATGGGAAATTGAATAGCTGTAACTTCGTTAATAGTTTGTCCAAAATTTTTGAACGATTTTTATATAGTTTTGTAGGAAATTTCATTACCTTTCGAAAAAACAGGCTAAACGGGTTGGAAACTAATAAATTAAAACATTGAAAATTGAATAAGCTGTTTAATCGTTAATACTGGTTGGATTCCGATGATTTGTTTTGTTGGTAATTTAATTACCTTTTAAAAGTTTTATTATAAATTTTACCGTATAATATACACTTAGCGAGTTAGGCCATAAAAAATAATTGTATTTTCTTTATAACTTTTTTTCCTGAATTTTTTTTCAGGAATTTAGTCTATATACAAAAATTGAAAGGATAATTATTAGAACATTATAGGAAAGTTTCATCAAAATCGTAAGAGCCGTTTTCGCGCTAAAGTATATAGAAAAACAAGGTTTTCATTTATTGCGCATGGAGCACCGAATTTCTGTCACAGACATCATTAGTCAAAATCATAAAAAAAAATCCCGAGAAAATCTTGGCACAGACAGACAGACAGACCAATGGCTAAAAATGGGTTTGTGGACTCAGGGGGCTGTGAAACGTACAGATTTTTCGAAAACAGCATATCGGAAATTTGACCCGATTGCAATACTTTCCTTACCTAGTATAGGTAGGAAAGTAATAAAAAAATAATTCAAATTAATACTCATTTCAACGAGTATAATACCTACGAAATATTTAAGATAAGTTAATTTTACACTTATAGACCGTGGTACAGTCCCCTTTCTATCAATTTATTAATACGCGCCTGAAACTTCCTGAATAGCTTTATCTCATTGTAACCTACAAATATTTTATTCTCCTAATTGGGACGTTTTCAATTTAGACAAATTTTACTGTATGTATATTTTTCGGGGACCGCGGTGGTCAAGCCAAGGGGCCTGCAAAAGTTTTATATCGAGTGTTCAAATCTCGTCCGCTTAAATTAATAACCAAAAAAAAAAACTAATTAAAAAAATAAAATAATTAATAATAAATTAAAATTAATAAGTGCAGGCCCTACTCGACTACATAGACTACTACAGCGCGGGTTCGATTCCCGCATAGATACGATAACGTCCCCACTCTCAGATTCACAGGGAGGTGAGCGACTCCTGTCTCTTACCCCATAGCTCCTGGTCATCTAGGTTGGGGAATAGATATAGGGCTAATAATCTCCTGTGTCATATGAGAACTGGGTTTGAGATTGAAGAGGGAGTGAAGTGTGATCCCGCCCGGTTAGTAAACCACGTGCTGCCTGGATATCTCGAAGGAGAGGGAACCAAACGATCACCACTCTCCCCTAGAACAGCCCAAGCTGCTGAAGAAGAGCCATGACTTAAAAGTCGAAGTCAACATGTGTAAGGTATATTTTATATATTTCAATAAAGGTTTGTGAATTCCTTCACAGTTTTATATTTCTTGTTTATATGTTTATAAAATGTATTTAATGTAGAATTTATAGATATAATAAATTTATAGAAGTTGTTTGTTATGTTGTTTTGAAAGAACTCGTATTTTTTTCATCTTACCCCACAGCTGTGGTAACAAGAGAAAAATGATAACTTTTGGTAAAACAGGTGTTTCATCCATTTTAAGATGAAAGAGGTAATTGAAAAACCTCATGGTATCACGTAAGATATTGAAGAAAATTTTTCGAAATTTTAGGTTCGAATCACAATGGTCAGGAAAAATTAAAAAAAAAACTTAACATCATTTTATGCAGCCTTCATCTACTATATATTTCGAATACTTAATAGTTGATCGTTATATATCTTTGAGGAAGGAGATGGAAAAACTATTTTATTTCAAGCCAACGTTTCGACCCGACTTTGCAGGTTTTCTTCAGACGGTGTGTTCAGTAAGGAGTTTCAGTTAAAAACTGTTTTTAATTGAATAGTTATTTCAGTTAAAAACTGTGTTTAACTAAAACTCCTTGTTGAACGCACCCCCCTGAAGAAGACCTGCAAAGTCTTATCGAAACGTTGGCTTGAAATAAAATAATTTTTCCACTATTTTAGTCTCTTTATGACCGCCACCCCGGACTATCTTCTTCCTCAATATTATATATTTCATATATTGGTAAGTGACAGTAAAAAAAAAAAAATGAGTTATGTCTTCTGAGAATTCTGTTGTATTGCAAGGACAGTAATATGCGAATTTTTCTCTAGGAACAGTTTACGTTTTTGTTTCAAAAAATCTATACTCACTCACTAATAACGTGATGATGTTGAATAGTTTTCTTCAAGCATATACTATAACATTTAGAAAAATGTTTACTGTACAAATTTAAGCCGCCCAGTTTCGGTTGTGCTCCGTAAATTTGTCGATACAATCTTACAGCCCTGGCCTCGATGTTTTCTATCTGATGGAGCAGCAATTTGAGATGCATCTGGATGGAAAGGTTGCTCTCTATCGCCATGAGACTCTTAGTGCAGTTCATCAGGGCTATCATGGTAGAGGTCAGCATGATGTAGGCGTTTTCGAAGAAGAAGGGTACCGGCTCCATCGAAGTGAAAGGATAAGTGACTGGGACGGCCAGTTCGAAGTTGACGTCGTAGAGGGTGGCGTTGTACCTGAAGGTGCCGAGCTTGTTGACGCTGGGTATCAGGATGACGGCCACCGACGCGGCGACGCCTATCATGATCACGCACAAGATATAACGTTTTCGCTCTCTCATTCTGTCGCTCCTCAGGAGCTTCAACTGTTCCTCCAGTTCTTCTTCGTAGTCGAAAAGATCGTGGTCGATGAAGCGGTACAACCTAGCCACGTGTGGTCGCTTCAACCAGGAATGCCAGAGTATGGCTATGCTCAAGAGCGCCAGGAAGCCGATATGGATCTCGTGGACGAAAGGGACGAAGTTGATATCAAAGAGTATAAGAGAAGTCTTGGAGGCCAGATAGCAGGAGTACATCAAGATAGAAGAATGGGTCAAGAAGATGGCGAAGTTCCTCAGGCATAGTAATGGCTTCTCGTCATCTAGTATAGGATAGATCGCGGAGATGGTGTTGAGCTTCTTGAAGGTCTTCTCGATGAACAGATCTGTCTTCTCGTCGCAACCAGTGTTGAGGAATCCGATGAACTCTCTGAAGATACCTGCCATCTCGAAGTACGAAGGGACTGTGGAGTTCGTTCGTTCATTAGGAGAATCCAAGGCGGTCGATATCCTCATTATATTCGAGCAAAATGCAAACAACGTTTCTGTCGATATGAAAACATTTTTAAAAATTAAATACTTTTGCGACATTTGTCGCTACTATGACCTTCTAATTCTTTGGATTTATAAAATATAGAAATAAATGACGAAGACAAGTAAATTTCATTCTGGGACATTTAGTTCCCTCTGAATAATAAAATTACTAAGTGTTGTAACCTAAAAAGTAAAATATAGGATAAGCATAATTGTAAATAAATACATAAATATCAGCAAGTTTATATATTTGCACTGATAAGTAATATGGATAATTGAAATAACAGTAAAATGAGACACTGTGATACAGCATTTCTGATACCAGATCTTTTTTTCATTTCTATCTAAATATTTGTTTTAAAATACTATTCTATATTATTAGTTTAATATTTGCCATTTCCTCATATTTCATTTACGTTTTTATTATTTATAATTATTAATCAGATAGCCAAATGTAATAAAATTTGATTTAATATTGTAATTACAACTTTGGTAGTTTTAAAATTATTGGAAATTTAAAAATTGTTAAAAAAAACATTAATCAAAAACCATTTATTTTAACTCTTTTATTTCTTCAATTATACAAGATGCGGCTACTTATTCAAAAAATATTATTTCTCCAAATATGAGTCGTTTATTTCCAAACTGGACCCTAATGATTGTTAACATTTTTTTCAGCTGCGTGAAAAACTATATTTTATATTCCAATTGTTATATCAAAACCAATAGTCTTCTAAAAATAAATTACTACCTTTTTCTTTATGTTTCCATCCACACCTTTCATAAGCTTGGCAATAAGCAGACGTCTGTAACTAATAAGAAAATTGATATTTTAGGCATGAAATAGGCTTCCTGGTCTTGATTTACTTCCTTAATCCAGGAAAGGAGATCTCTCATCCAGCTCCTCTTTAGCCATCTTGTGATGGGCATGTCAGCTGGGTCCATGCCGTTAATGAGTGCATTGTGATGTTCGTATAGTTTAAGTTGAAATTTGGCCTAGATATCACATATGTGGTGATCTATGGTTGGTTTGTCATAAGTCGGTATGTAATGTTTTAGTTTTTCAGATATTTTAATCTTTATGAAAGAACACTTCAATTAGTCGACTTTACCCGAGCGTTACACACCTGAGATCTGACGGCTCAATCTTAGTTTTCACTTCAAAAAAATTGTACTATTAGATTCATTGGGTGTTTTAACATGGGAATCAAAATTTATCTTTATATGGATAAAAACTGTTAAGGTTCATTTTGGATATAAGCGACTCATATTATAATATTGCTTATCAATAAATGAGATAACTAAAGCAGTGGTGCTGAACAGTTGGCTTGATTTTAATTCTTTGCGTTGACGAGATTGTAGTATGAGTAAGCAGAGTGCATCACCTGTGAAAAAAAAAATGAAAATATAATTATTTTAGAAATGTTTATACATTTTTAATCACATCCACTCTACCCTATACATAGTACGGTAATATAGTTATACCATACTAACATACTGCCGGACTAATAGTACGGTACTAGTAGTATGGTAGTACTAGAAATATGAAACTCTTTGCTCTCAAAAGCAATAAATTTTCATGAATGAGGTATCAAACGAATGAGGACTTCATTGAGAAGTGACGACTGGCGCACAGTGGGGCCGATAGGCGATCCATGAGGACCTAATTCATTGAGCAAATAAGTTTTAATTAGAAATCATGTTAATCGTGTTTGTCACAAATAAATACAAATAAAACTTTTATAGTCGTAATTAAGTCAACATAACTCGGGGGGCGGGGTGGCCGAATGAGCTAACGCGTGTGCAAAGCACCGCCAGTTACCTGTGCTATGTATTCTAAAGACCGCCGGTGGAACTCATTTAATCATTTTAAAGGTATAAATAAATAAATATCATAAGTGCTCACATCTGACGGTACCTGAGCTAGGGTAACGACCCACGAGGCCAACCTTCTGCAAGTGGTAATAAAAACCCTTAAGAACCACCGACCAAGACCGACAACTGAGTGTTTAAACAGGATCCAAAGAAAATTAACACCTTCCAGAAATACGTAAAATATACCTGGTTGGTGGAATACCTTGGCCTGGGGGAGAGGGTGTGGTCATCCCTTAGGCTAGGAATATTCAACCAATCAGGAAAAAGTACAAAAAGAGAGGGGGGTGACTGGAAGCTAGGACGGTTAGAGTTTTGAGGAAGGACTTGATCAGGAGAGGCGGAGAGAGCAAGATAGAGGCTGATAGCTGGACTCTGCTAGGGGTCAAGCGAGGACGGTTGAACACTGGGAGGAAGACGGAGGCTGAGGAGAGCGACATGGAAGGAGACTCGAAGATGATGAAGAACCAGCTAGGTAATAACCCTCATTTAGTAATAAAGATGTAAACTCGTGTTGGCAACCATAAATCGTTAATTAATAGAATCAATAGAACACATGTAACTTTAATCAAACATCAAGCATTCTCCTCCAGTATGATTCTCTACCATTCATTATGTATATAGGTTTAGTTATTATTTTGTATATAGATGTTTTGGTTGTTAAAGTTGATAAATATAATAGTTAGTAAACCATCTCGTTAATTTTACATTCTACCTTGCATGCCACCCATAGTAATAGAAACAAATAGTAAATTTAAAAACACGATACCTCTAGAAAAGAAATCCAATAAAAATTATATGGTTCAATCTAGGATACTACAGTAGGGGGTCTGTGGTATCTAACCTTTTAATACAGAATAAATATATTTTTCGGTAGATCGGTTCACTTCTGGGACCGATATAAATACCAATATAAGTATTAAATAAAAATAAATGCGGTTCCTGGAACCCCCTACTCGCCGTAGAAACGCGAGGCCAGGAACATAGCATCTGGCAACCAGATAACCAGAGTAATGAGAGATTTTTCTTATTTAGACATATAATATTCTGTCTCATGGACAATGATTGTAGTGATAAATGAACACATTCACACCATATATACAGAAAATATAAAATTAACAAAAGTAAAATAATAACAAAATAATAATAAAAAAACTATGTACAATAAAAAATAAAATAACCTAAAGAGAATTTCTTAAGAGAATTTCCCGCCCTCACCCCCGGCAAGGGAAAACCCCTTATAGCGTAAAAGACAAGGTAGAAGAAAATGGAAAAGACAGGAGTCTCAAATCAAAAGGGGTTTTCAATAAATTTTCACAAATTTGTAACCTCTTAGCTGACTGCTTAGGAATATGTTCGTGAGGGACCAGTCTACTGCTCTTTTTCACCTTCCCCAGGGAGAGTAGATGGCGACTAACAGTATCTTTCGACACACCAAAATCCCTGGCAAGTTTCCGAGTATTTGACTCAACAGCTTCCTGCAGAACCCCATCAATATCGATTAATGGTCGCCCGCAGCCCTTCTTCCTTTCAAACCTCGTATCTCCACTACTAAATTTTTCAACAAAAAACTAAACTGAGGATTTTTTTTTAAGAAGTCGAATGGGATTAAACAAGCTTAGAGATTGATCTAAAGAGATAATTAAGTATTGGTAAGTATTAAATAGGATTAAAATATTCAGTTCTTTGAATCTTGATATAACGGTTGTAGCGGCAATAGATTCCCGCCTCTTACTACAGGGGACAACTAGTTCGCCTATCCGCTACCAGGCAGCGCCATACAAGCTCACCCGTGCAACCTACTAAAAATTATATTTTTATTTCTATGATAAAATACTCAAATTGTAAATAGGAATATGTATACACGTATCAAATACTTTTTATCAATAAAGTTTAATGGCGATAACATATACTGATCAAAGCTTAAAAATAACTATAATTTTAAGGGCTCTGGATATACGGTTTAGTCTTGGCGGAATGAATACCGCAGGCAAATCTCGAATTGTTATGTTTTAGGGTCTCCACCCCTTCAAGGTGTAGACATTCACAGAGTTGTTCAGTATATGAATCGTATAATCCTTTTGTTCTTCAACAACTGCTTATTTCATAAAATCCAAAAACCTTTTTCCTCATCTCTTACTCCATGCAAGTTGGATTCTGATCCCTCCGTTAGTATTTCATCTTTCGACAAGTCCGGAGTTTGATCCCTTCGGTCTTCCTTGCAGAGTGTTAAGCATGATCTCTTACACAGTAGACCGAGAGTGCTTGGGTGCTGATCCGCCTGTCACTTAAGGTCATTCTTCTATTCATCTTTCTACACGCACTATCGAGGCCTTCTGGTAACTGCATACTCCCTCTGCACAGGTACCTCGACACGGTCATTTATACATCCTATTATTTTTTTAGTACATGCATAATTTATTATATTATTTCATTATAGGTAAAGCCTAGTGACACTAACCGTGGCAAATGAATCGTAATTTATCTGCAACAAGCTGTAAAATGAAAAACTTAGAGGTTTTAAGGTGGCGATTTGTAGGATCCTGATGGTTCTCTTGATACCTTGATCACACCTGTACCAGGGCATGCCATAGACCACTTCTCGCAGCTCCACTGACTGAAACAAATCGTACAAATTAGAGTTAATATAATGTATTGTGGATGCTGATATGAAAGGGAATATATCTTATCTTAATCATTATATAAATAGACAAAGGTAGAACAGTTCAACCTCTTTTTCTCCTCTGCTTCTCTACCGATTTTCTTTTTTTATTTAGTTGCTTTCGGCGAGCTAACTGATATTAATAAATAAAAATTGGAAATAGTATATATAAATTAACATATACAAACATGTTAACGAAGTCATTACAAACGATTCCACTAGTTACATGGACATCCTAACACACTCATACGTGACATGACCACTACGCAAATGCCAGGTAACGTCTATAAGAGGTTGAAGAGGAGTCCCTGGATGAGGAACCTTCTCGCCTAATGTAGACATCACGCAGGGAGGAGGTGCCGCTGGCTACTCCTACCCCTCCGCCTTTACATGCTATTATATTTTGCAATCGATCATCTCATTCATTGGTTGTCACTATTATGACAGG